TTCACTGAGAGTATGAGAACCATGTTTACGAGTAGGTCGAATTCCTCCGAGACATTTCCCACATTTCCCAAATAGACACTGATCACAAGATGCTGGCTTCAACAGTCAACAGACATTGTTATAATATCTCCAGTGTAACACGACCAGTCTTCAATGAGGCACCTTTTCTGCAACATCAGATAATGATGTTTGAATGACACAATCTCTGGAATATGTTTTGATGGTATTTCCAACAGTATTTACGCCAGAATACCATGTTCGGTGGGTATTATAGCAACATCGACGTCAGTTTATATTCAAGGATAACCTCAGGGCATAATGTAATCCGTCAATTCTATCTCTGTCCAGCATCTCAGACATTGTACCTTGGTAAAAAATCCTTTGTAAATAAACAAGGAGTCGCAGAAATCTATAATTAGTAGCTGTTTCACTTTGGAAGATATTTTTGCTCCAGGCAAGAAAGAGTAAGGCAAATAACGTCATACGACATTTTTTATCATCTCTGCATATGTGTACAAGGATGAGATAGCAACATATCAAGGAAATAAATTGGCAGCATGCTTCACAGATTGTGAAAGGTCTCACGCGTTGTAATATGCTTGTGTAATTGAGAACTACAACTACGAGCACGTAAATGTGTGTTCATGAAATTGTAAAATTGGGATTTACATCATTGGTCAGTTATGATTTTACTTTTTCGGAATTACTGTTATTACTATTAAAATTCCAGAAAATGCTTTCAGTTCATGATCTCTTGTCAAAGTGTCATTAATGTATGGCTACAAATGTAATATACCTATATCATTGTACAAACGTTGCGTTTAACCTCCAAAACTAAAGAGGAGTTGCCTTAAGTTTTCATTTTCTTATAATGAGTCATATTTTTCTACTAGCTCCTAGATGGCAAATGATAAAAAGGGGTAGTGAATTCCTAGACATGTACTTTCAAAGATATTTTCCCAACAGCGTATAAATCTGATATAATTGTTCTTCAAGCTCCAGGCACATTTCGTGACTATCAGCTGTTTTCTGCTGCATTATGTAACAACTCATAATCTGTGACCAGTAAACAATAAGGTCATAGAACAACAAAAATATATGTCTGACTGATGGAAAGATAACATAAATGCACAATTCTTGGATAGAATGCATACCTCCTGCTTCTTTGAACGTTTCTATGTGCACATACTGATATGGAGGCTTGTTGGTAAGAACATCCTACAGGGCGTGCTATATATGTTTCATTATACAAGGAATGCATGTAATAAACACATGCTGTCGTGTCTATCAGTGATGACATTTAGATGCAGAACGCCTCTGGAAATAAGCTCAGTGCGTACCGTTCATAATGAGCACAATGGAGCTAATTCCAAAACCTTTTAACGTAATGCAAGCCATTTGGTCCCTGACACTTTTTACGATCGGAACACGATTCCGTGTACAGGCGTACATTATGGACGATGGTACTGGTCAGGTATGAAATCACCTTGCAGACATTTGCCTTTGGTGTCTGCATTTCACAACCTTTGCGGTATATTCGAGATTTCAAAGAGGGTCATGCAAATCTGGCTCAAAAGTTATTTGATCAAGGTTACATTCATGGCATCAGTAAAGCTTTCAAAAAGTTTTATGGTTAACATGTGGAAGACATTTCCAAATTTGACGCATCAGTGACAAAAATGATGTCCGATGCATTCCCTATTTTGACTTGTACCATATGTTACCGTGTTTGATCAGGTGCATGATAGATTCCTTTGATCATTGGTATCACCACTATTTGATAGTGATTCATAAACACATGCTCTTGATACAGTCGGTATCGTACATTCGACTCTGCTTTTAGCAGAGACTTCTTGTGGCTATGGAAAGGGTTTTTGTCGCTTTTATTTAATGTCAGCAGTGAAAGATATTGGCAATGATTATTTGTTGAATGGCAAGACCGTGAAACACAGCGTTTGTCTTTTCTAATCGTAGACATTGTATAGACAATGATGAGTTTGGGAATAGAGTATAAATCCTCTCGAGATATGTTTATATTGATATCGGCGAGAGAGTTTCCATAATAATTCACAATAAAAGGACAACCGAGTGTCACGTTATAATTTTTTCTTGCATCCTGTTTAAAAAAGGTAATACAAAAAGTAAACACATATCAACACGAACATCTAAATGGGTTATTTGTTCTTTAATTATTGTATATCAGGATATTAACGTATATGAACCTGAGTGCACCTTTGGACAGTATTTCCTTGGCAGGAACATCTAAATGGGTAATTTTCCGGACTTTCCTCCCACATTAAGCTGCCGCGCCGTGATATAAATGGAATACTGTTAAAAGCGGCGTTAAACCCAACTCACTCACTCACTCACTCCTTGGCAGGAAATTCCAAAGTGACAACATGTCGTTGACGATAATCACTTTTGTGAAACCCCCGATCACGGGTACAGTGGCACACATTCAAATGGAATCAATTTTCAGCGGACCCTGATACAACTAAGGGACCATATATGCACAATAATAACGGCACATGATACCACTGACTCACAACTGACCCGAATACAGTTTCAAGTGTAGTTAGAAATAAGAAAGACGATTTCTCGATGTGGTCGTTTTGCACTTAAAAAATAACGTAAATTGTATTGTCGTTTACAGCTGCCAGTAAACCACAGCAGACACTAAATGTTCATGACACTCATGACGTCATTCTCCTTATACTTCTAGTGGGGAGGAGGTGAGGGGTTATGTGGGGAAGCGTTTGTAAGGAGGGTGTAATCGATCTAGGAAGATGTTGCAAAGAAACACTTGTCAGGGGTAACTGTGAATGGGTAGAGTCGGCAAATAAAGTTTCTAACAGTTGCTCCGACTCAACATAATTCCTGCTGTAGGAAATGCAAACTGATATGTTGTGATAACAGCAGCTTTCCGTGATGGCTCTTTTATGGCATTCTATGAATTCCGTCTTATCTTGTGTAACAAATTGTGAAACATGACAAAACTTGTAAAACATGATAAAAAAGGAATTAAAGCAATTACTAGTTCATGCAGTTCATGCAGTTCATGCAATGGGTAATGTAATGTAAATTTCCATATATAACACATAGACACATTATTAACACGAACTGTTTTAACTCGAATATGTTATTTTGGTGAACGCCGTGATATCACTGGAATACTGTTCAAAACGGCGTAAAACCCAACTCACTCACTATTTCGGTGATGGAAATAAAAGCGACAAAACTCATTTCATAATCACAAGAAATGTCTGCTAAATGTCGATTCCGACTATAGCATGATCATGTGTTTATGAATCACTAACAAATAGTCGTGATACGAGATGTTCGTGACAAGAGGAGCGTATTCTGCCGATTCGACAGAATTCAGATCGGAACTAGGGTATAACATCGACATTCCATTTATCTCGAACTCGGTTTATTTAGTTTCAAATTTTGCGATAAGCGAGGTATTGAAGATATACAAAAACATTTTGGGCGGTGGGTTAATCTAGCGGTTAAAGCGTTCCCTCGTCATGCCAAAGGTCCGGGTTCGATTTCTACATGAGTTCAGTTTGTGAAGTACATTTCTTGTGACATTGCTGGAATATTCTAAGAGCGGCGTAAAACCATACTCTTTCACTCCATGGCATTGATGACGTAATGCATTATTGCTGACGTGGGATTTACAGATGTGACGTCACAATCTTCATTGGTGGCATCATTCTGGTGTTGTTTATCTATTGAAACTGTTCTCCATACGCATCCGCCGCTTCTGAACAGCTGTATATCAACTACATGTATGGATAAATACTACATTCGAGTGTGTATCATACCGATTTTACGAATTATAACAAAAGGCGCGTATGCTTGCCGTAAAGGTGACTAACGGGATCGGGTGGTCAGGCTCGCTGACTTGGTTTATGCATGTCATCGCATCCCAATTGCTTGGATCGATGCTCATGACATAAGTCACTGGATTGTGTGGTCCAGACTCGATTATTTACAGACCGCCGTCATATAGCTGTAATATTTCTGAGTGCGGCGTTAAACAAAAACAAACAAACAAACAAACGAATATCAGAATTAATGAAAATGTCACCCTTGCTCGTGAAATTCAAAACGTCTGAACAAAGTGACACACTCAGTCATGTTATACTGCCTATACATCTCCAAAGCCCGAATGCGCCTTGAACGAGATTGTTAAATATAATCCTTCCCCATCGCTATAAGAACAAGAGCGGTTATTAGCCATTATAGGTTCCATTTCTTTATCCATGAAGTGTACACAATATGCTCCTAAGTGATAAGAGTCAGGGCACGTCTCGTAAAGGTACTATTACCCTATTAATGACAAAATAAAACACTGTTTAAAAAGATGAGAATAAAGGCGTGCCACCCTCGTGTGCACGTCATCACATGCAGCAGCTGTAAATCAGAGGAAGCTGACGCTGATTGGCTGATGATGGCGAATCTCTGGTATGATTGGGCCAACTCGTACCTCATCAGCCTCTTGAGATGGCCGTTACGGGATTCCGTACACAGATACCCATCCTGCTACGCCTGTATGGAGCAGTAACTGTTTTGACAAAGCCGCTTCGAAGCCGTGCGCTTAAAAGTTCCATAATCTATTGTTTTGGACCGGATCATTGATGGATTCGCTAATGGTGCCTTTTGGTGAATATTAGGCTTTGGAAGCTGATATGGTGCTCTGTATCTTCTCGTTAGGAGGAATGGTAGCCATGTAACAGAACCGTTCTTGAAGGAGTGCTGTTATTACTCAGCCATACGGTGACTCGGTTAAAACGTTATATCACCCCAATTTGAGCTCCATACGGAATACTCCCAGTACACTACTTTCACTGACACCCAGCTATTGCTAGAGACACCACTCCGGAACACACAGGACATCCTGCAATACAGTTACCACCTAAGACATGGAGATGTTCACTTTCGCTCTGTATCCTTTATGCAATATTGACTTATCGTAAGTATTTAACACTTTTCAGGTAAGTTTGGAGACCGCTGTACATTAAACAGAGAATGTTGGGACGCCTATCCCAGAGGCGTGTGCTCCAGGAACGGAACATGTGCCTGTGAATCAGGCTACTATAGGCACGATAACCTTACTGGCTGTACATTAAGTAAGTATTTTATATGCCCTTACGTTTATACGCAAACATATTTTAGTATGATCGCCTTTGAGTGATTTACGTTGCATAATATGTTATGTTTCAGTATGACATTGTTATAGAATTGATGTTGTAAATTATTATTTTTATCATTATATTTTCTTGTTTGCAAAATAAATGTTTTAAGCGTCTCCGATGTACATGCTTCTGATTAATGTTATATATGTGTACTTGTCAATTATTATATTAGGAAAATATAAACTTTGCGTTAGGTTAAGAGGTTCTTGGATCTTGATAATGAACAAAAGCGATTTTTGTGAGGTCCTGCACTTAGAAAAGCATTACGCCGAAGAGTGATAAGCAGTAACAACGCCCTTAAAGAAACATTAGAGTAAACCACACGTTTCTCTGAATCAATTTACTGTTACCTTAAGACGGGTATGGGAGGTGTCTTGCGATAAAGACAGATGCTTATTGTTCTTGCTGTCTCGTATCTTATCATTAACTGATTATGCGCCGTTGCGAATTTCATGCTGTGTTTTTCTGATATTTGATGGACTTAATGGTTCATTCACATATATATGTACCATTTGTTGCTCAGATGTATTGTTGTAATCTCATTTGCTCCCACTCAAATGTTATATTATGTGAACATCATATGACATTAATCATCTTTTTTATTTCAGATTTCGGAATTCACATGAATTATATTTTTTTAATTTTTGCAACGTATTTGTAAATGATCTAACTTTTGATATTATGTATTGTGAATTGTAAAAGGTAAAACCGAACTTACTTTGTTATTAATTCAATATGACCATGTTGAATATGGTAATTGAATTAATAAAATGGCATTTGTGCAATATATAAAGTACGAAGTGTTACCTCGGTTTTACTTTCGTAAACATAGATGATGGTCAATCGACCGCTGTTTGATATCATTTATTGCGAAAAGCTAACATTCCTTTTTTCATCACAGAGTTCCCAAGGCGTGCTGTTCGTTTGTGTTCTTCATATATGTGAAGCGCTAATTTAGCTGCGTTAAGTGGTATCACTGTTATGTGTGTTTTCAAAAGGAACTTATTTTCTCAACAGGAAAGATAGGTGACACAACTTGCGCAATCGACAGTGACTGTGAGGATGCAGTGCCCAACAGCGAATGCACCCAGACTATATGCACCTGCAGTGTCGGCTTCAACCCCACCGACGACGGAACACAGTGCGTCAAAAGTAAGTCACTGTGTTTTACAATGTACAGTGAAGGCGTAAAGGAAGTATTTGACATGCTGTGTTCGTTTTGATCGGCCTGTTTCTTCTTTTCACTTCTTTTTTTATTATGTATCAATTCCTTGTTATATGTTCAGAAATATCTACCTTTATCATTTAACTACTAATACAGGATGTATTCTCTCTTAAGGAAAGAAAGAGATATGAAACAGAATTGTTTCGGGCAGCGAAGAAAATGGACTGACCTGTAAATATTTTTAGTAGAAATTTGCAATTTTAAGGCACAGAGTGAGTGAGGGAGGTTTGACCAAGGAAGAAAGTATTCTTGGTGTGTGACGGTATGCAACCCGTACGTCAAATATGTCCATCCACTTAGCGGACACCTTGTATCAGATAGTTACACCAGAATGTCCTCATTACTGATTCATGCATGAAGTATTAGATAAATGCCATTTGTGCTTTAATGGTTTACGATTTATAAATTTGGATTAACTACCTCTATGGCATTTCAATTTAAATTATATTTCGACTACTGCAAACTGCTTCAACGATAACATAATCTTATATTAGGGACTGCACACAACTCGCCCAATTAATGGTACCTTGTACCCTCATCTGACCGCCTCCATGTTCTGGTGGGTAGAGCGTCTGTCCGGGCAGCTGAAGGTCCATGGTTCGAGCCCCGTACGCGTCATACCAAAACCTTATACTGCCTTGCGCGTGGCCTTAAGGGGATAACACGTCGGCTCGTTGTCGGTATACTGCGTCTGAGCAGGTATCCATGTTAAACTGCGGCATGGCATCTCAGTAGGCTAGCACTATAAAATCGGCATTAGCTCGGACTAGTGAAAGCAGCTATATATAAACATACGCGTGCATGCACGTCTCTATATAAGTGCGATACGCTTGACGTTAGACCCCATTTCACCTCACCTCACCTTCGTCTGAAGGCTTAATGTGCGTCACATCGTGAACAAGTTGTAAATTGCGTCTCTTCTCAATCTCCTCCTCTCCAGTAAGCTACATAGTTGTATCATCTCCTTGTTTTGACAGACAACGTGCCTTACAACTCACCCAGCTCCGGTAATACAAAACTCAAACGTCAGTCATAAACCTCTGTTGGTAAACGTGAGCGCTTACACACGTAGGTCTTAGAACAGAAGCCAGGGAATAGCCAAGGAATCTTGCTCATGACCTAATTCGAAAAAACGACATTTTGTCGAAATGCCAAAAACTTAGCATAATTAACATTATCTTCACCAAAATATGAAAAAAACCTCCAGGGAACTAATATGCAACCGTGAGTTATACCTTTTTCACATTGCTGGACATTGATTGGACAAAATCCATATTTCACATGGGCGTGACGTCTGTTACCGTAGCAGCTGTTGGCTAACTTAGTGTTCAAAGTGTATCACCAAATTTATGAATTGTTCAAACATCGTGCAAGTCTAAGGAAGCATTAGACCACATAAACTGATGAGCAAAAGAAAGTATACACCCTTGTTGTATGGCGGCTAAATAAAAGCGACAAAACTCCATATTCATTAGAAATCTCTGGCGAAAGCAGAGTCGATAAAATTCCGACTGTATTATGAGCATGTGTTTATGAATGACTATCAAATAGTGATGATACCAGGTGTTGATGAAAAGGTGTGCATATCCTGCCCCAACGGTGGCACCAATCACAAATACTGGAAGTAACATTTTTCCAGCATGAGAAATAACGATATGTTTTTCATTCGATTACGAGACTGTTGGATTTTAGAAAGTAGATTTATGATTCAGGGGATATGATACACTGTATCTAAATATTTTGTTGTAGAAAAGAAGGTCTTATAGTGGGTTTTAATAGAAGATTAAGAGGCCATTTAGAATATACATTTATTTTAACTGGTGTGATATGTGTGAAGAATTAATTATTAGACACTTGTGATATTTCAGTGGACACTTTATATATTTGAAAGGTCGCGTACTTTTTCGTTTTTGACCTCAGCTGATGTACATATAAAAAATGTTTCCTTTTTTGCATATTTTTTCATTGCTTTAACTGTACTGGGCATATGTGGCTTTGAGGAGCTGAGCCGAGTGGTACGGAACTAAATCCTTTATCACACAATAATGTTCTCCCAAAGTGTCAATAGAATTTCTCTTTTTAGAACAGGTAGTGAACCGACAAAAGCCAGTATTGCGTCATGTCGGAAAAAAACGTGTTTAAGAAAATATTCTTCAGGGAAGGTTTTGGAAATTTGGTGTATTTTTTCTCAAAATATCTGTACCATTTATTATTTGAAGATGAAAGCACAATAGAGTGTCGACAGGGTTTATAGGTGGTCTGTTTGTTCACTCAGATTTTTTTCTTTCCCTGTTACTTAAGCTCCCAAGATAAAGCCGGGCTGTGAACCGCACTGCCTGAAGTGATAATTCCTGCCTCCTCCATCGAGGGAGATGTGGTTAACTTTTGTATATCACTCTACCAGATGTATATCTTCCCCTCACACATTTTAACGACTCTAACTGACAATGCAAATCGCTAAATTAGCCTTTATACCAACTTGATTGTACTGGATGAGACTCATCTTCGTGTAGTTCAGCTCATTCATTGGATGTACCAACAGTGGAATTGATTGGCCAAGCAGATACATAAAATACCATAGATGCCAACGATGAGAGGGGTGAGGGTGTAAATAGATTTATAATGAAGTAAGTGTTCAGTCCAGCTAGGTTTGCAGGAACTGTTTCAGTGTCCGGTACCTTCTGTTCGTGTGCTACTGTTGTTGACTGTTGGTAACCTAAGACGTGAGGGTTTATTTGGCCAGCTGAAAGGAACGCAAAAGTGTTACAGACTTAACATATGTCTTTAAGGAATAGCGCTCAACCATTTTCTTAATACGCGTATAACGTATGTGGTCTTCATAGAAGATTCAACATTTGAATACTGTAAATCTTGAAAATAATGCGAGTGTGAAATTGCCAATGATATAATTTACGACTGGTTATTCAGTGATTGTTTCGTTTGCATTGCACAGTTGCTGATCTACCTACCATGTTAGTATTGTCGGTATCATTATATAGCAAGGCCGTTCATGAATTGTTCCCTAGAAGAAGGCAAGAAAAGTAAATTAAAATGTTAAATTAATGTTAAAATGTGTCTTCAGGTGTTAGGAGGAACTTGTGTAGCACTGCATATTAAGGCAACACTTAGGGATATCCTAAAAAAAGAATATTTTTTAGCTTAACAATTTCAAAGATTAAGATTTAACCGTGTTATAAATAATTGAATAATTGTAATAGATCCAGGATGGGGTAATGCTTGAACACACTTAAGTAAGTTCAATGGCGTTTATGGGGGTTATTCCCATTCGCTTCAGATGAACATCTAGAGGTGTGTTTTCTTATTACAGCAGTGATTAAGAGAGAAAGACATGAAAACGTAACTTCGTGCTATTATACTTGAGTTTGGTTTACACATATTTTATTCATATGAAAAGGATTGGGCACAAGTTAAGTTCTTGATTGGCTATAAGCCGGATACAAAAAAAACCCAAAACCTGTTTGGTACTTCATTGATTATAAGCCGGACACAAGGAAACAAACTGTTAAGAACGTCATTGATTATAAATGAGTCAGAAGGAAACAAACTGTTTAGTACTTCATTGATTATAAATGAGACAGAAGGAAACAAACTGTTTAGTACTTCATTGATTATAAATGAGACAGAATGAAACTAACTGTTTGGTACTTCATTGATTATAAATGAGACAGAAGGAAACAAACTGTTTAGTACTTCATTGATTATAAATGAGACAGAAGGAAACAAACTGTTTAGTACTTCATTGATTATAAATGAGACAGAAGGAAACAAACTGTTTAGTACTTTATTGATTATAAGCCGGACACAAGGAAACTAACTGTTTGGTACTTCATTGATTATAAATGAGACAGAAGGAAACAAACAGTTTAGTACTTCATTGATTATAAATGAGACAGAAAGAAACAAACTGTTTAGTACTTCATTGATTATAAATGAGACAGAAGGAAACAAACTGTTTAGTACTTCATTGATTATAAATGAGACAGAAGGAAACAAACTGTTTAGTACTTCATTGATTATAAATGAGACAGAAGGAAACAAACTGTTTAGTACTTCATTGATTATAAATGAGACAGAAGGAAACAAACTGTTTAGTACTTCATTGATTATAAGCCGGACACAAGGAAATGAAACTGTTTGGTACTTCATTGATTATAAATGAGACAGAAGGAAACAAACTGTTTAGTACTTCATTGATTATAAATGAGACAGAAGGAAACAAACTGTTTGGTACTTCATTGATTATAAATGAGACTGAAGGAAACAAACTGTTTAGTACTTCATTGATTATAAATGAGACAGAAAGAAACAAACTGTTTGGTACTTCATTGATTATAAATGAGACAGAAGGAAACAAACTGTTTAGTACTTCATTGATTATAAGCCGGACACAAGGAAATGAAACTGTTTGGTACTTCATTGATTATAAATGAGACAGAAGGAAACAAACTTTTTAGTACTTCATTGATTATAAATGAGACAGAAGGAAACAAACTGTTTGGTACTTCATTGATTATAAATGAGACAGAAGGAAACAAACTGTTTAGTACTTCATTGATTATAAATGAGACAGAAGGAAACAAACTGTTTAGTACTTCATTGATTATAAATGAGACAGAAGGAAACAAACTGTTTAGTACTTCATTGATTATAAATGAGACACAAGGAAACAAACTGTTTAGTACTTCATTGATTATAAATGAGACAGAAGGAAACAAACTGTTTAGTACTTCATTGATTATAAATGAGACACAAGGAAACAAACTGTTTAGTTCTTCATTGATTATAAATGGGACAGAAGGAAACAAACTGTTTCGTACTTCACTGATCTATTAGCCGGACACAAGCAACCACACCTGAGTGGATAAATACTTTATGTCCCGAATGAATGAATAATTTATGTCTCGAG